CCTGAGAGGGGATGTAGGAGTGTGCTGTGAATATCTTGACGGGGCTGTGGGTAGTGGAATTTTGTGATGTGAGCAACCCACAGCTCTGTAGACAATGATCTGCTTTTCTAGGGCAGAACAGCTGCACAATGCTACCCTGAGGTTTACTTTCTTAGTGCACAGCTGCCAGCTAACACAGCAGCATGAGGTTGCTAACCCAGTACTTGACCCACTGCAGCTGTGTCTGCTACTTCAGTGATGATCTGAAAAGGCTTGCACAGGCAGGACCAAAGAGAGAAAAAAAAATGGCCCATGAGACCACCTCCTGACAGTGACCTAAAATACCCCATTCTCCAACCATAAAGTTTCTCATTACCCTATTGTCAACGAGCAATATGCAAGCTGAAAGCCTTCAAAGCATTATTTTGAGGTGTAACACAACTATTATTTCAAGAACCTGTATCTATTTAATTTTTTTCTTACACAAAGCCAAAGAACTTCAAGTATCTCTTTGCAAGACATTTTATAATTAATAATTGATATTAGGAAGAAGCATTGATGTATCCAGGGCAATTGCTTTTAAAGCAGATGTGTATAGGTTTCTTCCCCTCATACTAGTACATTAAAAACAACAATAACAAACACAAGTAAAAAAATTAAATCCTTTTATCCTTACCTGTAGGTTGTGGATTGCCTTTTTTTTTTGTGCGCGTGTATAGATGTGAAATGTCTAATTTCAGGTACTGCTTAAGGTTTACAGGAAGGTATGCAAAAGAAAATTTCAGTCTAAAATTGTGGGGTTTTTTAAACATATGCCAAGATTCCACCAGACATAGTTTGAGAAGCATTTTGAGTTTTTATAATCACAGTGCTAGAACATAATAATGCTTGTATTTTGCAAGAGACAAACTATGAAAACCTTAAGTACCTAAGAGACCTTAATGCCATGTAGACACTTTGGCACTGTAGACAGAAAAAAATTCTTGAGAAAGTAGGAAAAGTGGCTTGTCACAACAATAGTAAGAGGAAATAAAGGCAGCTGTATGACACACAACAGGAGACAAGGCAGGAAATGAGTATAAGAAGCGAGGACATGCATTTCTACCCTCTGGATGACAGGGAAACACTAAAAGGCGACAGGATGGAACATTTAAGATTTGAGAGTTTTCTCCTTGCACTCTTTGTTTATTGACTGAATTCAGATTCTGAGACACACAGAAATAGAGATGGCAAATCACACTTGCACTACGAGGCTTAAATCTTCAGTAGAAAAGAGTAAGAACATAGGGTTTGGAAGCAATCTTGCCCTGCAGGTTAGGTACAGATGCCACTTACAGTGTCTGTCCTCTTTCTCTCCCCAAATGTTGCCTCTGAGCTTACAGAAATCACCTTTTCTAAGACTGGCCAGAAGTTTATCTTCAGCTATTTTATCTTTTTGTGCAAGAAACAATCCTGCAAGCAATTCCATGAAAGAGAAAACTTATTACCTTTGATTATCTTTGAACCTTTTTCCTTGGTAAATACAAACACAAGACCTAGAAATCTGGTTTCAGATAAGACTGAATTCTGCTATCCTTTCCCATATTATAGGAGTCCGCAGCTCTGTACTTAGTCAAACAGATGCATTGGAAACAAACATTTTGCCATCTCTGCGCTATTTACCAGATTTTTAAGGTAGTTTTCTGAAAGAGAGACAGAAGTTATTCCTCTGAAGGAGCTGGAAATCCACTAGGTCCTGGAAAGCTCTGAACAGTCTGCTTGTCTTCAGCCCAAACATGTCATGATCCATTACAATGGGCAAAGCAACTGCATTTACACAGAGAATTGCGTATCGGGCCCAGGGGAGACTACAGAACCTGCTAAACAATTCCAGGACAAAACCATGTACAAAGATTGTTATATTAACCTACAGGAGAACCTCAGTGAATCAAAAATGCCTGAAAGTTTTTTGCAACACACCTTGTGCACATGTAAAGTAAAAAACCTTAAAGTAAGAACTGGCCAAAGTTACCTTTTTCCTTAAGACATGTTATGTGTTATCTTAAAGGAACAAACTGCATACTATTACTCTCCTTACTGAAATGTCTAGACCTGTTTAAAAGTTTTTCTGATAAACTCTTTTTTCTTCTTCTCTTAAGTTTCAAGAGACCTTCTGGACTAAAAGCAACATGTTTCATTGTCCTTTGCAGCCATCAGAACAGCCACACAAGCCTTTAATCTCAAATTGTTTCTACTAATAGTACCAGATGCAGTTAATATTATATTACAAAAAGTCACTATTTCTCTCATTTCATTTTATCCAAAGTACAGCTTTTTGTTGCATGTTATCAGAAGAAAGTTCAAATGTAACCCGGCCAGGGGCTCTCCAAGAGAGCACACTAGGCAGTTAGAACAGTAATCGCTGCAATAACAATTACTACGTAGAACACCACCTTGGAACACAGTAAGTCATGGCTCTTGGCATGAGGCTGCAAAGGCATAACACCAGTATTGCTCATGAGGAGAGTGGAGATGGGAATGGGATATGTATGTATCCCTGAGAATGCAAGCAAAGATGTGTAGATGCTTGGGGATAGGTTTAACGGCAGACTTGGCAGGGTTATGTTAATGGTTGGACTATGACCTTAAGGGTCTTTTCCAACCTTAAAGATTCTATGACTATCACTTAATCTGCATTTTTTGCTGCCCATTTTTATCTCCATGTGAAAGACTTCCACTTTGGAAGGAGCTCAGGTCTGTTCAAATAAAATTTCTGCACATACATGTTTCAAGTAAAAACAGGTAAGGTGCTATCCTTCATTATACAACATGTTTACAAATGTGTCAATGGAGTTTTCATTAGAGCTTACCTTCAGGAAAACAGGATGATCCTTGAGGAGGGGCAGGACAGTAAAATAATATGAACCCTACAGTGCTCTCTATTCATAGTACAAAGGCATTTTTGTCCTCCAGCAGAATATCAGCATGGTAAATGTGGATATGACAAGAGCCAATACAAACGTAGGAGCTCCTCAGTCTTGAAACTGTCAGTGCTCATAAGGACTTGTAGGGCAATATTATTTGACAGAATATCTGTTTAATCTGCTTTGGCAAAGTGTGGCATATAAATGCCCAAACACAAGAAAAAATCCTGAATCTCTGAGTAAACTCTCTGTTCAAAAACTTTTCTAGTTCAAGATAGTATCTACAAGAAAACTGGGGAACAAAATCAAGTGCTATTTCAAAGGCTGATTGATTCCTTATCTCGAAGCAAAGCTGATCCCTCCTCAATTTTTTTCTCTGTACCAGACCAGGAGCAGAATGCCATCAGTTTTATTCTGATATATCTCTGTAGAGTTAATCATTATAAGGGGCATTTCATATTGGGTATGAAATGTAAACAAATGTACACAAACAATTTCATATACCATTATCAGATGTTCAAGACTCCATTCTCTTTCAACTGGACACCTTTCTACGTTCACATTTAGATAGATGAACTCAACTTTATTTTGCTGGAAATCATGGATCTTGCAGCAAATAGAAGTGACTTGTTTTCATCAACCAGAAACTTTGTGATTACTTTGCTATCTAAATAATCTGATTATTTCGTTATTTAAGTAATCCAGATCTATGGATTCTGGACCTGTGTTTTGCAACTGGCAGAATCCCATGAGTTTGAAAAACTAGGCCTAATCAGACTAGTCTGTCTCATAAGATGTAAACTCTTCAGACAAAACCCACAAACAAGGACCAGTATTTTCTCTTTCCAATCTTCAGTATGGTCCTAATGGAGCTGCAAAGGAGCAGGAAGGGCAAAGTACAAGGCACCAGTCATGTAGGAAAGAAGCTGAGTGTTCTGCAACACACACAATGCCTGGAGACAACTGCCCTCAAACTGGTACTTCCAAACACAGAGGTCAATCACCAATTCTCTAAAAAATGAAGGTGTTCCTGGATTTCTTAAACCAGTTTTAGATCTTTCTACCCTGATGAGCAACATATAGAGAGGCAGGATATCCTGCACTTTAAAGACAAATTTGTTTTTCTTTCTGATATAGACATAACTAAATCCTTTCCAATGTATTTATGCAAACTGTAGCAAATGTCTGTCCACAGTAGAAAACAACCGTTTCCTCAAGACAATATAAAAACTCAACTCTCCCTGGTTGTCCAGACCAAAGCACATAATCTTTCTGTCATGGCAGAGATGATTCACCAGAAAAGCAAAAATCACCACACTTGAGCATGACAGTGTTACTTAACACAGCAGTTACAGGTCAACTGTCCTCAGAAGTGAACTGAAACTCTTAGGGTACACAGTTCCAAACAGTTTGATCTATTCTTGTGGTACTTCTCTGACCACACAGTAAATCATTCCAAATTCCTAAACTGGGAAAATAACAACGTGATCACAGAAGAGCTGTTTATTGGGTTGTCAAGCTGACCTTGTCTACTATGCAAACTACCATGAGAACCAAGTGTAACCAAAGGACACAGGTCTGGAAACTCAGTAAGAAAGGAAGGGGCAATTGTCTCAGCTGTCACGCAAAACTATATCCTTACTGAACTTCTAGAACTAAGAAAATTGCACTAGAAGATCTTTGCATTTGGATCCAAGCATTTTCACACTAGACTTAGTTCCTGTTCTGCTGCACATTATCTGATTTGTCTCAGCCTAGAGGAGTTATTACACTTTAGGGTTTCATGCACTACAGAATACTGTAGATTTGCTCTGGTCAAGAAATTACTAAGAAGACATGCATTTCTACTTTGCAGTTATGTTTCTAAAGTTATTAAATGACAAATGCAGTTAAAGATGCCTATTGACTTGGTACTAACAGTACTAAACCGTTAACACTCCCAACCCCCTTTAGCAGAACAAAGGCAGGAAACTGCAGAGTTTAAGGTTCAGGGAGCACTGCTCACTGCAGTGGAAAATGACTGCTTTCATCACTGAATGTAAAAACAACTTCTCTCTAAACATTTGAAAGGAAGATCCAATACACAAATGAGGGATACAAACAGTAGTTGGTTCATACCTGCAGCTATGCACCTCCCTCTAGCCGTTCCAGTCTTCAGTCTAAAAGATAAGGAAAAAACAGATATTGAGAACTCCAGAGTTAAAATCGGATAGCAACAATCACCTCAACATGAACTCCATCTTATAAAGCACTGAGGACTGTGAAAGTAAAGCATATTTCTAAAAACAGAAGTCATCATGAGGTGCTGACTACCCTCATTAGACTCAAACCTGAAGTTGCATATTTCAAGAATACAGAGTAGATTAGAGGGGGCAAAAGAGAGGACTGCAATGCAACACGGCTGAAAACAGAAGTCTTAAAACTCCCTAATAACATTCAGTGGACTTATCCTACCTGTCTGGCTTTTTGACTGTCACAACAGAAGCAGTTACCAACAGCAGTACCCACAGTCCTAAACTCCTGTATCACATTATTTTGACAGCTGCAGGTGGGAACTCAAATGTAAGACTGCATAAATGGAAATGCACCGAATCAGGGAACACAAAGACCACAAAGAATTAACAACTCAAGATAAAAATGTGATTTCTACATCTTAAGCAAATCATCAACCAGAAACCATACAAATTTTCTGTACTAGCACCTGAATAAGGGATGCTATTCCATGATTCACAGCTCTCTTTTTGCAAACTCAGTAATTGACCCACAACTACAAACTTCGGATTTTTTTAGTTGTGGAATGGCTTTCCTTTTTTTTTTGTAAATTACACAAAGCTATCTGTGCTCCCACATTTTTGCTACTTTGCAGGCCCCTTTATAACCTTTGTTCTATATTTTTTAATAAATGAGAATAAGTGATCCATATCCTCTTCTAACTTGCCTTGTAATATACTTGTCTCATGTAATATACATGTCATCATGTCTCCTGCCTTCTTTTCCAAAGGGAGATCTCAAAAATTTTCAATTGCTATTTTGTAGTAATTTTCAATTGTTCTAATTTCTTTCTATTTGTTCAATTGATTTATTAAAGTACCATAGCCTCTAAAGCAAAAAAGAATCCTAAACACAAGAACAAAATTAATTTTCTTATAAGAGTTGTTAAGAACAATACAAATCAATCATGAATCCTGACAAACACAACTCAGTTATTTGAAATGTGCATTTTCAAAATTATGAATTTATATTTTCTAGAATATTACTGAAAACTGACTATTGTTCAGGGAACACTTTACATATTTATTTTTGTTCTGTTTCACAACAGCATTCTGAATGATGAAGCTCCAACTAGCGAGTCAGGCAAATACATTACCTGAGGACACCTCCTTCCACCTCACCCACATTCCTTTGCTTTCTGAAGTTTAATTACAAGATATTTGTTTATGGTCAAAAAAATGGTCTCAGATTCCTCCTAACAGACCTGCCTTCAAAACATACAGTTTTTTTCTTCTGTTTCTTTTAAACCAAATTTTTGCCAGATATTTAAACCCTATGAAAATTGTCATATATGCTAAGTTTTGCTCCTTTGATAATCAGCTTCCAGAAAAAATGAAATACACAATTTACTTATCTTGTAAATGCTTAAGAATATCTATATAAACATCTTTTTTATGTTAAAAAGAAAATATTCCCTTCACACATGTAGCCATTAATTCACTCTAATGAATTAATTTAAAACTTCAAAGGAACCAAAAGTGCAGCTAACATAGCCAGAGGAGCCCATAACTCTTGGACACCTTTGGGAAAAAATATACACCTCATTGAATCAAAGGCAAAATCCAAGACAATAAAAACTTCAAAAACAAGCAGCAAATCTGACAACCACCCGCAGAAAGCCTGGGAGAATGTTCTTAAATCATAAATTGTTCTATAATGGTTCATTTAATTGCATGCAGAACATAAATACACAATCATTTATCCAAGTTTATACATGAGACAAACTTGAATCAAAGGCCAAAGAATCTGACAACTGTGTTTTTTCTCAGAAGAAATTGGGACTTGGATACGCCAGATCAAGGTATACAATGTGTGCAACCAGTGCGACACAGCCATTTCTGTAATTAACTGACGTGGCAGAAAGCTCTTGTGCAAATTAGATCCTCCCCAGCCCAGCATTAGATGCTGACAGCCAACTGTTTTCATAGTTGCATGAGTGTAGGCTCTTACTGGGATCAGCAAAACACTTAACAGGCATAAATTGAGACATCACATCTTTTGCTAAGATTTTTCCTGAAGTTGCCCCCGACTGAAGTGCTGCATCCGAGTACAGATGGCACTTTCAACTCCCTCACCAAGCTGGGAGGAACTAGGACACCCCCTGACAACTCCATGTAGAAAAACAAAGGTTTAACACTTCGATTTAATACTTAGCCCTGGCAGATCTAAGTGACAAAATATACTCTCACTGATGAACACTTGTAACTTCTGATATGCAATATAATATAAATAGAATTACAGCTGGTAATGAAAACAAGTGGCTCTAGCCACTAAGCACTAGACAGTGGATATGAGCCCAATAAATCTAGGGATGTTGCTTTGATACTACTTTTGATACAAAACTTCAGTCTCACCAGCACCCAGGACCATCTAAGAGAATACCAGATCATTTAATGGATTCTGATCAATGACATTACTGTCAAAGTTACCACTTGTCTAGACTAGTTTGTTCTGATTTCTCATTACACCTTCCAGGAACTAATGTTTATGGGATGTCCAGGTTACCAATGGCAATTAAAGAGGCTAAGAGACCACACAGTTCAACCTCAGATACATCCTGGCGTCAACAGTCTCTCACATAAATCAGCATTCAGTCTGGGCTCACTGCAGATTTACGTATTTTTAAGTACCAATATGACCAATAACAAAAATTTGAAAATATAAAAAGAACTATTTCTTTGAAGGAAGTAAAGGAGGGACATAACAATTCATCGCAGAGTGACGGAGCAAGTGCACTAGTCAGAGTATGAACAGAGAGGCCGATACAAATCAGATAAGTTTCAATTACTATACAGCTTAGGCCACAACCCACAGAAAGTGTCACTTTCTAGTAACTCTTACTTACGAGGAAGCAAGACAACAGAGATAAGTGAGGAGAAACTCTTGCAGTATAAAAACCTCACCACGGAAGCAGCCCTACTTTCTTATCGGAGAAATGCCCTTCTACTGCAATCTTTACACCACCCAAACCTCACAGCACCAGGAGCCACGTGTTCACTGCGAGGCCACAGCTCCCAATTACTTCATTGCCTGCTCACTTCATTTTTGCAGACAGAGCTGTTGAGTACTGTTTTCCCCAGTGCTGCCAGCACAAATACTATCAGGCATACAGGTTAGCGGGCAATCTGTACAGTTAGCAAGTAGACCAGTTGAATTACTCACAACAGCATGTTCCACTATAAGAATGTAAGTTTTTTTTAACGTAAGAACAGACTGAAGAATAGAAGAGGTGCACATTTTGGGACTACTGCAGGTTAAGACAAAAAGAAAAGAGAGGAAAACATTTAAAATGCTATGTTTCAAGTTCCTGTAACCAGGACATCATAAAATACTTAACATTTGGCACGCTGCCCATCTTTGCAATGTCTGTTCCATGCCCAGTCAGCAATTACAGCCCAAACGTTCCCAAGACCGATCATTAAGCCTTACAACCCATAATGAGAGGGTCAAGAGACACACTTTAAGAATGCAAACCAATCCTGTCATCTACTGTTGAAAACATGAGACTGGAACTTAGAAGGTATCAGTTATATTATTAACTATGGGTTAAATAGCATTTGACAAGTCACTTTTTGGTACTAAAGAGTTTCCGTTTGTACAATATTATAATCTTTTTTATTTTGTGAAAAAGTATTTTGAGAACTAGTGACAGAGTGTATTGAATAAGAAAATATCATCACGCTGTTACAGTAGTTGCATCTCAGTTGAAAACCTAGTAAACAACTTCACAAAAAAATGTCCATAAAACATTTGTGTTAATAAAACCCAAAGAATCTCACCAACAAAAGATTTAAGCTTGCTATCTCCATCCAGATTATGGCATTAAGGGACTTTCAAAATATATCACGAGTTACAAATACAAATATACAAAAAATATACAAATACAAAAGCAATATATCATCTACTTTTTGAATGAAGATTCAAAATACTTAGAAAACATGCATTCATGTTTTGCTGCTATACACACCGCAGCAAGACCTATCAAATGTAGCAGTTTTATGTCTTCTTTTGAGTAGAAGATTGAGGTTTAGCGAACAGAAACAATATTTTCAGTTTAACCACTGAACCTACTCCTTAACCTAGTAGGAACCTACTTCCTACCTAGAAGCAATTGAACTTCAGCTGAACTTTAACAACCTCATCCATCTCAGCCACAAGACTAACACTTTCACTCACCTATCATTAAAAGTAAAGTAAAAAAGTCTTGATGGGAAAATCATCCCTGTGCAATATTTAGACAGACACAGTTTGCATAGCTCTGTGTTAAAAATTCAAGGTACTTACATACCTTTCTTCTGATTGTACAAAAGGGAATAGATTCAAATGCAGAGAAAAAAGATCCTCAAATGCAATCACTATTCTGTATTATCACACCTGAAATACTAAAAGAGGACACAGTGCACATGGCCGTTTCCAGCATTTACTGCCAGTTTCAGAAGAAAATAATTTTGAGGTGTCCCAGTTTTGAAGGATCAGAATTAATCTGGATGCAAAATTCTGAGTAGGCCTGAAATTCTGTATTTGCAAAATGTTTACGTATAATCATTTATATTTTATTTCAAAGAAGCACAACTAAGAAAGACTGATTTACCTTAAGCTTGTATGTGCGTCTTGCTTGGCTTATATTAGACAAATACTTGCCATGAACTCTACCGTGCAGAATCTGCCATTGCCACGCCTGCAAACCAAAGAGTAAAAATATGCTCAATTATTTTTATCTTTATTTTGTAACAGGTACATGGTCAAACCCTTTGCAGAAGTAAATGGATACAAGTCTCAAATTACACTCATTTACATCTGCAAAGAATTGAAGTCACTGCTCTATTATAACAAATGAATACTGATTCAAATCACTTTCAACAGCAGACAGTTTTCATTAACATTTAAAGAGATTTAATATTGGTGTGTAGAGCTGAAGCTTTAAAAAGTATTTCACGCGATTTCTTTTTCTTCAGAGGCAAATGCTGGCATTTCTGTGGGAATATCAACTTAGCAATGTCCCGACTTTTATTAAAAAATTTAATAAAATCTAACCATTTCACTGTAAAGCAGTTCTTACTGAGCTTCTACTCCAGCTCTGAAGGTTTCCAATTTGTCATCATTTGTAACATCATTTGTATATACTTCAATTTCTTTTTTTGCAACATTTACTACCCTTTTCATTATCTTTATATAGTACCTAAAGCACACAAACAACTGTAAATAATACAGAAAAAAACAAAAAATCTGCATTAATTTACAATCTCCTGAAAACACATGAATGCATAAACACATGCAGCACCTTGAAGCATTATTTTTGTCTGACTACCATTCACAAATGTGATGTCACATTTTAAATTAACTTTTCCCTGTCTGAAGCAGCTTTCATTCTTAGTTATGAACATTTAATAGAATGTTTTTCCTACTGGTATCAGCAGCCTTTTAATCCACAAACTACCCTCATGGCCCATTCTGTGACCCTGAAACACCCTCTCCAGGCTGCTTCTCTCTGGTGATTGATGCTCACTGACTCTCGTGCCAGCACAGCTTGGCTTGCTCCTTTCTCTTCCCAAGGCCTCAGAAACCCTCCCTGCTGGATCCGCAACCTGATCTTAGACTGAGGGGAGAAGGATAAAGAGTGGCAATGCACTTTGCCAAGAACCAGAGTCTTGCTTGAAGTCTTACGCACGTATTTTCAGATGTTCTTCACTTACACACTTATCCATCAATTCTTTCCATTCACTTTTCCTGGAAGGCTCAGTATAACATCAGCTGCTTTCCACTGCTAGCAGAAGGAGACTCCAAAAACTTCATGGCAAAAACGAGTGCTATTAATACAGTTTTGGCTGCATGAGGAGTCAAAACAGATATAAAATCCTCACCTATCTTGCTGGATTCTCATGGTTGCTATACCTTGTACCTAAATTCTGGAGGTATCTCAGATTGTCACGTATAAGGTTTTGATTCAGGGAGAGTATATGTGGCACATTATTTTCTCTCTGTCCTCACATCAGAAAAGCTCACTGATTTCTTCCCAGATGAACAGCAAGCTTCTCTGTACAGCAGTATCAAACACAGTGTGTATCAAATACTGCCTTCATAAAGAAGTATGTTAAGACACCATTTAGTACTTCCCAGTAGAGAACCAAATTACATGTGCCACAGCAGGTAACACACGCAAACAATTCTTACCTAAGTTTTTTTGGCTTATATTACAGAGAGGACTGGGTACAGCTCTCCAGAAACATTTTATAGAAATGAGGAGGAAATACAAATAGATCAAGATATTTGTACTGTAGATTCAATTTAAGCTGATGCTCTTGCCAAAAGAATAGTGCACAACTCTTTCCTCACCAGCTATCCATCCCCACCTCTGTATAACAAGCCTGAGAAAGGAAAGGGGCAAGGTGTGATTAAGACTACCAACAACAACATGAATATAATAGTTTTAATTCAAGCATGCTCCCAGAGTCAATTCACTGCACCACACATAGTCTTGGAAATGAAAAACACAAAGATGGCACGAGACTTTCAGAGCAATACTGGCAGATGCTCATTTAAATTACTCACGGAACTAGATAATCAGATTTAGGTGCTGAATTTCACATCATTAATTCTCTACTGATTAATTCTTTCTAAAGGCCTCAAGTGACAAAGAAGGCTTCCACTGTCTCTGTTAAAAAACCATTATACTTCTAAGAAGCACATACATGCTCTTCCATATAATCACCTTTACTGTCCCAATTCTTTGTCAGTGGACGGCATCCGATATTTAAAGACACGGCATTCACTATCCTTGATTAAACTATATGATTCAGCTTTTTAAAATCACAGGTAAATATTTTTTAACTTTCATTTATTCTTCCTGGAGTTTAATACCTGTAATTGCTTTCCAACAGCAGTTATAAGTTTCATTAATTTCAAATGAACACTGGACTTAATTCCAAATTCCCATAATCTTCCCACATTTCCAGTCTTAACTTAACTTCATTATTCAACTGCATGATTATGACCTTAAAGAAACAGAATTATTTTTGTAAAAAATAAAATAGGGCAAGAAGAAAATAAAAAATTACCCCTACCTGTGGAATTTCAGTACCTTCAAAGGACATCAGACAGAAGTTAATTTTTCATTTGTCTCTAATCCTGATTAAATCTTTTCTGCAAACAGGGTAACACAGCCAATCTAGAATGGATTACCCAAACTCAAAGTATATTTGGCAAATAAGATTTTCTGTCTTGACAGCTTATCCTAGGTCTGAACAATGTCACTGTCTTATATATTGCCTTTAGGAAGATTCTTACAAAATGGTAAGATTTAAATTCCCTAGTGCCATCCTATAGCCTATCTTTCATCTACTCAATGCCCTAGGTGTACATATGTTTATTCAGTGTTCTACCCATTTATCATGGCATCTTTCACAGAATGGACACTGTTTTTTAAACATGCAATAGTGCACTTCCAAGAGGCCTTTGTAACTGCCTAATCATATTCCTGCTACAAGGCTACAAAAAAAAAAAAAAGAAAGAAAAAAAAAAAAGTAAGTGTGCTACCAAAAAGCACTTCAAAGTAGAGGAATTACAAAACCCCAACCACTGGCATCGAACAGTACCAAGAGTTACTTTCACTGGTTAACTCATACAAATGAAAAGACATCAACTAAGGAGTCAGGAAGTGGAAAAGCAGGAAGAAAAACAGGCAGTGGGCCGAATTCTGGCAGAGGATGCCAGAATTAGGAAAAACGTCAAGACACTTAAGGCAACAAGCTTAGCATCCCAGAAGCTGCATATTCTTAGGTTTTCCAGATGAACATGGAACAATTATTGCAGTGTGTCCCCATTAAAGAAAGAAGGATCGGAAAACAGCCACACAACAAAGTTGCTTGAGTTCAAGCAGTTCAAGAAGATGACCCTCTGTCACAGGTCCCTGCCTGCAGACATCAGTGCGATTCAGATATTGCCAGGCAGCTGAGAGCCACCAATTTGCCACTAAAATTTGCTTCTTCCAAATTCAAGACACACAGCTTTCTCAGGAGGAAATACACTGAAGACACTGCAGTGGTAGGAAAGAAAAATAATTCAGACTGAGTTTATGGAATATGGTCCTCAAGAATGATTTTAGCAAGATGCTGACTTCCATTTCACAACTGAAACAACGTTTTCCTTGCTCAAATTCCATAACCAAAAGGCCTGATGCCTATTTGCATAGATATTCAAAAGGTAGGAGAATTTGTAAGTGGACAGTATTCCCAAAAAACTATTTCTCCCTTTCCCTCTTTCTCCCACTCAAAAAAATTATTGCCAATGTTAATGGTGTATCCAGTTGCTGCCACAATTTCGAGCACCTTTCTGCTACTCAAAGAACAGTTTACTACAGCAGCTAACAGACTTTCTGTACTATTTGTTCACCTGATCTACTACTTCAAAAAGCAATTGTGAGTAGTCATCATCCCAATGCGTGCAGGGCCTTAATACAAAGTTTACACAAGCACACAGTCAGGAAAGTCTTAGCTACAAGTTTCCAGTTCTTCCTAACAAGGTATTTCCCCCAAACTCCATCCCTCAATACCAACTCCTGATTTCCAACTAGGCAGGGCAGGGTCTACCTCCTCATTAATTCCCATTGCCCATAACAAGCAAAGACACCACTCAGATCTTCCGGGACAGGATCTAGCTTTCATTAATCTTCAAGGCAGACAGTGACAACAGACCTTTTATGGAAAAATACAGGCCCTGGTTAATCACACCCCAAAGCAGGAAGGGAGATTAAAATCCTCATCCCAGAATACAGCAGCTCTTTTGGAGGTTAAATCTGTCTGTATCTTTCTGATGCCACTGCCACTCACCACACACATACTGTCCCTGCAAGACAACTGCCTTCCCTCCTCTGCTCCCTGTCCCTAGACTCCCAAATTTGAATGAACTGCATTTTACAAAAAAACAACATCTACAAACAGATCACCTTTCACTTGGAACTCCAGTCCTCCCCAGAGACGCAGACAGACAGACAGACGGACGTAACAGAGACTGTAAGCCCTGGCTCTCAATTCTGCTCAGCAAATGCCCACCAGGCCAGCCACACTGCCTAGTTATCCAGTGTGCTGCTGCTGCTGCTGGACAAATATAGAAAGCAGAAAGTGGAACAACCGTTTCAGCAGAAGAGATTCTGCTCAGCTCTGTGAGAGGGAGGAGCAGGAGCTGAACCAGCCGAACTGCTTTACCCATACATGGTCTCTGAAAGAGACCATTGCTAAGACAAGTTCCTTCACACACGCACAGCCTCATTCACTGTCACACCGTGCAAGAAGGAAAAGAATTAAAGTGTACAAATTTAAAGGAGTTACTGCTTAGAAATGAGTTCCAAGTACGTTTTGCTTTATTCACCAACAGAATCTGAGCAGCAACTCCAAAATAAGACAAAAATCTCTGTTCCAGGGAATCCCCACATCCACCAGCATTTCAAGAACTACTGAACTGGCAAGGTCTTCCTTGTTGCTTTTGGACACACATTCACATATTAAGTTCTTGGTTTGACCTTCTCCCCCCACAGCCCAAACTGAATTATAGCCATCTTTTTAAACCTTTCTCCCTTCTTAAGTATTGTCCTAAACCAGCAACCATGACCTTTCTCATTGGCTGATGCTAATTACTATGGTGATCTGCCATACCATGTCTGCTTTCCCAGTAGTCCTTTTTGCC